TTTCCAAAAAAATTGTGAAAAAATAAATTTGTCATGCAGAAGAATAAACTAAATAACATTTGCGTCAACAGTACATCCAAATTCCTTACCAAATTTTAACTAAATAATAATAATTATTATTATTATTATTTTGAAAGTAATAAAAAAAAAACGAAAATGAAATTATTGCGTGGGCTAGCAAGTTTTTGACACGGCCATCTTTCGCGATTGTCCAATTTTTTTTGGCTTTGTCAAATGGCATGAAATTTTATACATATGTATCTTACATAATAGACAACCTACAAATAAAGTTAGAAAAAAAGAATAATTTTTTTCAGGCCCCGAAATAAAGGGAAAACAAAAAGTGAAAAGAGAAAACAAATAAATTTGTAGTTGGGAAAGCAAGTTTTGAGACCACCATCTTTGCCGATTTTTCATTATTTTTTAGCTCTGCAGATTGAATTCCAAATTGAGAGAAAGGTAGCTTACATAACAGAGAACTCAGAAAAATAAAAATTCAGAAAAAATAACATATTGAGAAAGGTAGCTTCCAAATTGAGAACTAGGAGAAAGGTAGCTTCCAAATTGACTTCCAAATTGAGACGTTTGTCCGAACGCGAAACCAGAAAATAAATAAATAAATAAATAAATAAAAATAAACAAATTAAAAAAAAACGAAAAACAAAAAAAAGTTTCCAAAATTATGAATGAATAATATGTCATGCAAAATAATAAAGTATATATATTCGTATTGCAATGAATCCGGATAATGCGGTAGAAATGGAGGGCCAGACTTGTCATATGGGGTGCGATTGTGTGCATGTCGTCAACAGCGTTGGTTCGCCGAAATATATATATATATATATATATATATATATATATATATATATATATATATATATTGTGTTGGGAGGCACGTCGTGATCCGTGATACTGTGCTTTCGCGTGTGCAGGTGCGTCTGCCCTTCCGCATCCATAGAGCAGGGGCATCAACATGGACCGCCGACAACCTCCTGCAGCTCTGCCGTCGTCGCCGAAATCCCCGTTGCTTCCTACTCCTCTCTCTTCATCTCCATCCGTCTCACGCGCTCTTTCTTCTTTGCAAGGCTCTCCGGTGTACCATAATATTTCACGCGGTCAAGGGAGAGGGCTTTTGGATTCACGCGGACGCACTCGAACGGATTGTATATTGGATAGACCTGCAACCAGGCAGCGTTTGGATGACAGAATGGTCGTTCTGTCGTTCCTCCTTTGATGAATTCGACAAATGTCACACAAACTCCTCTCCTGAGTCACATGCGTGCAGCCATTGCTGCAATCCCGGCTCTCCCCACTTTCGTTGGCGATCCCGCAACGTCTTCGTTTGCGCAATCCGCTGTGATTTCTTCTCGTCCTCCATTTTCTTCGCCCATGGGCTCTCTCGCAGCAATGTTGCTGATGCCTTGGTCCGGAAGTCAGAGCATGTGCGGTGTTCAACAAAGTCGTTTAGACGCCACGCATCCATTTGGTTTGCTGCGGTCGTTCCCGTCTTCGGGCCATGACAACTCCGACGCGGTGCCCGTTGTGGGTGTCTTTGCGTCGGATCCTGTTCATCGAACAGAAGAGACACGTTCACCGATCGAAGCAGTGCAGCCGACATCATGCACTCCGGTTTCCAGCAACCGTGCACACGATGTTCTTTCCCCGGCTAATGATAGCGAGGCTGGGATGAGTTTCTCGCCCCGATCGCCCCGTACGAGGTCCAGTACACCTCGTGAAGGCAAGCCTCACTGGGTGCGATGTAGACTTGATAAAAAAAATCACCTGATTGAGATTGCGAAGGCGATGAGGAAGAAGTTGTCGACTCGCACTCGAGGCTTTAAAGATAAGAAGAAAAATCATTGTTCGTACGAGGACGTGTTCGATCAGCTCATGGAGTGGAGTTCCCTTCACATTGATGAACTGATGTCAAAGTACGGCCCCGACGAACAATCGTCCGGACATGGGGGTTCATGCGGACAAGGATCGGACGCAACGGCGACACCAAAGTCGCGAGGTGGCAGACCTCGCAGTGACGCATTGAAATGGCACGACGGCAAGCCGGGATATTCGGATAATGGTCCGATGTTTGAACGATTGAGCGTGAGGGACCAAATGGCCATGTGGGATGCTAAGGCAAGACCTGATATCGTTTTCATTGAGCCGGTCAAACTTCTACAGATTCTCTGCATGTTCGAGCAAACGTGTCCTCGGCACGGGAAAGACGTTGAGGTGACGATCAAGAAGATCAATTATCCATGTCACATTTGCAAGTTGCAATTCGAGTGCGGGAAAGGGTGCACTTGGCACTGGAGTTCCGCGAAGGTTGTGTCACCGGGCGGGTGAGAAATTCGAGGGTTGAGACTCAATTGTTCCACTCCACTTTGACTGCGGGAATGACTTACACTCAATTGAATAACCTCCTGCGGGGCTTAGGGGTGAGGAAGGTTAGGAAAGAAACTTTCTATAATTTTTTTCGTGATGACGGCCCAGGTTCCCGACAATGGCTGCGACACGTCGAACGGGTTACTCAAAAGAGCTTCGACAAGGTCAACGCGCGATTGCGTAGGTCGAACGATCCGGTCGTCATTTTGGTTGATGGGCGTTACGATTCGTCTCGTGACGCTCAACATTGTACGGTGACGGCGGTGGATTTGAATTCAGGAATGATCGTGGGGACGGAGACCATGGTCCGGGGGAACGAGTCGTCATGGAAGCTGGAGACACAGTGTGTTGAGAAACTGCTACATCGGTTGAAGGACGAGAAGAACCTCAAAATCGCAGAGGTTGTGCATGATGATTGTGGCGCGGTTGACGTCATATTGCGGCGAATGAACATTGACTCACAAAAGTGTATGTGGCATAAGGCGAAAACTTTGGTCAAACGCTTGCGAGAGGCTGTGCGCAGCACGAAGACTGTCAAACCAGCTGCAGTCGGGGCTTGCGAGCATGTGCGCGAGGTAAAGTGTTTCACAAAGAAGGAGCTCGAACTTTGACTCGAATCGAAATGTGTACACGTGGCAGGGGTGTCCACGAGAGAAAAGGATGAACTCGTTGAGATTGTTTGGGGTGTGCTCTTCCCCGACGAAGCAGGGAAAGCGTTGCCAGATGATGTCGCCGAGATCGACGCATTGCAAACACTGCATTGCAATGTGGCGGAGGAGGCGAAGGAGTGGTTGTACGACGCTTGCAGGTTGCGCGAGCACGCAAAGGATGACAATGGCGATGTGTTGGCCACGCATGTGCAACACCTCGCCGATCATTGGGCCGGGGATCACTCCTGTTGCGATAAGAAGTTGTCCAACCTGTGCAAAGCGGCTGGGGGTCCGGACAGGGATCCATTGTACGAGGCGGGGGGGCGTGTTCATTTCGCCGTCGCGCGCTGTCTTGAACAGTTCGCTTCGAATACAAAGATGGCGTACTACACATGTGCGGGGATGACCTTCAACAACGAGTGCTTCCACTCCGTGATCAACAAGTACGCAACGAAACGCCTGAACTTCCCCAAGTCGTATGAGGCGTGCGTGTGTTGCACCGCTTTGGAGTGGAACAAAAACAAACGAATCAGGCGATTGCGCACAGTCTTCCGCAAACCGACAAACGTAACCCATCGACGTCGTTCCGCACGACAGCATATATACGCTGCATGGGATACGTCGTGGCGCTTCGACATTGCAACTGCGGTTTTTGGCAGCCTTCGGGTCGGAGATTGGACACGTAACATGTTGCAGCAATCGGACGTCGACGACCCAGTTATTCAGCATTATGATGAGGAAGCCGATTATGGACTCCCTGATGCCGTTGAGAGTGCGGTGGAGGGTGTTGTGGCCGAAGGTGACAATGTTTTTGTTAAGGCGGGAAGTGAAAGTGCTTCAGATGACGAAAAGTCGTCTTCCGACTCCGACACCTATGGTGCCGCTCACCGCCTCGACTTTGATGGCGCCGTTCTTTCGCAGGAGGTGTCCGTTGCCCAGGAGTGATAGTGTCACGTACTACATCGATGCCCATTGTCGTCATCATAATCATTAGAATGTTATGTCCTCGATTTGAACTGGTTTTGAGAACTGGTTGTGAGAACTGGTTGTAATTTTGAACTGGTTCTGATAACTGGTTGTTCGAACTGGTTATGAGAACTGGTTGTAATTTTGAACTGGTTGTGATAACTGGTTTTGATAACTGGTTGTTCGAAGTGGCTGTTCGAACTGGTTGTAATGTTGAACTTTGTGAGAAATGGTTGGAATTTTTGAACTGGTTGTGAGAGCTGCTTTTCATGTATACTAATTGTATATATGTTTTGTGTACACTTTGTGATAACCGGTTCTGAATATATATATATATATATATATATATATATATA